TTCATGTAAGATTTATTTATTTTTTCATTATTATTAAACCAATGATAATGAATTACTGGTTCTTGAATAAGTAAATTAAAATAAAAGATTCTAATGACATTTAGAACCAAATCTTTCGCCAATGAATTTACATATTTTTTCCTTTTAATATCATTAATTTTACGATAAAGTTATCATCATCGGATGATGCCATTATCATATTTTGATAAACTATAATATCCCTATAAAAAATTTTTATTAGATGTATTCCGATTTTTGTCTGGTTTACATATTCCAAAAATTTTCCGAATTTTATTATCCGATTTTGCTACGGAAAGTGATCATTTTTCGGAACGATAATTGCAGATTTTACCCGAAAATACTTGAATTATATTCAATAAATTTCATGAGTGTAAACAGAGTGGTATCAAATAATTTATAAAGATATTATCCGAAACTGCTCAGAAAATTTCATGAATATAAATGGAATATTATTAAATGATTTACAAAGAAGTTATCCGAAACTGCTCAGAAAATTTCATGAATATAAATGGAATATTTTTAAATGATTTACAAAGTTATTATCTGAAAGCAATCAAATTGTATTCAGTAAATTTTGCTAATATTTCATGAACGTATATAGATGAAATACAAAGTTATAATCCGAAAATTCTCATGAATTTATTTCGATTTATTTTTGAGATTTGTTGCGAGTGTTGTAAGTCTTGCGAGTGGTACTTTGCTTCTTAGGCGGCCTGATTGTTTTTTCCAGGCGTGTCCTAGTAGTAGTTGTTCTTTTTTCGTTACCTATATTTTATTGTGAAGTATTATAAATGTTATACCTAGCAAAAAGACTAAATTTATTAAATTTTATTTAAATACCATTAGATGGAGTTTCGTGTGTATACAATTGAACATTTCTTGTATCCTCTAACTCCTCTTGTACATCAGATGGAGTTACATGTGTCAGTTGAACATCAATATTATCAGTATTATTTGTTTCTATATTTTCAGCAGGAAGGACTGTATTTGATAGTATTTTGGAAACTTGGGTAGATGGATTTGTCATCAATTTTTTGCGTTTTGAATTAGGGGGAGTAATATTTTTGCGTTTTGGAGGTGGGGGTATGCCTCGTATACGTGCTTCTTTGACTTTGTTCTTACGTTCAGTCTCAACTACAGATATTTTTAATATTAAAATAATATATATGTTAGATACAAAGCCATATTTACCCCAATTTCCAACAATATCTTCAATTATTTTTTGCAAAACGAAATCTCCAACAGAAATGGGAAAGGTAGGGAAATCACTTTTAAACTTAATAAAATTTAAAAAAATAAAAAGTTAATCTATGTTTAAAATTTTGAAATAAGCAAATATACAACTTACACTATTGATAACATTTTGAATTTTACCTGGCACTTGTTCTGATGCATATTTCCCTTTTTCACAGGTTGCATTCAATCGATCACGAAGATTTCTCTACAAGTTGCGAATTAATGTAAATGCATAGTTTTATATAAAATATAAAGAATTATAAGCTCACCCGATAAGTCCAATATGTATCATATGGTAAATGAAGGAAATCTTTCCAATCTTCATTTGGTTGTTTTATCTTTTTCCATTGTTTCCACTCTTCTTTAGTAATAGGATTTTGTATTGAACCACGTGGAAACTAACAAATACTATTAGTATTATTAATGTTATTATTTTGAAACATTTTATATTATTTACTGAAGTATTAACAACGCCTGTAAGAGATGTAGCAGCAGCAATAGACACGGGATTTGGCGCAGAAGGAGTTTGTTGAGTAATCATCGTAGTAGCTTGCTGTAAAATTTTTGGATTCGCTAATAATTGAAGCAATAAATTTATTGTGGTCTCTGAATTATTATTATTTATATCTACATTATCATCCATTATCTAAAATTGAAATAAAGTATTTTTTTATGGTAAACGAAATATTTTTAAATCTTTATCTGAACAGCTGAATTATTTAGTACTCAATAATAAATACTTACATTAATTATTTATATTTTACAATTAATGTTTTATTTTTCAGGTATTTTATAAATATTATTAAGGTGAAACAATAAGGAGAAAAATTGACAAACAATATTTTCTAAAAAGCAAAAATACGCTTCTATTTATACTTTAATAGTTTAATAATCATCATTTTTGCGAGTTTATTTTTTTGATTTAGATCATGAGTCTCATCAGTATTATTTAATTATTACACCATACTTAAATTTATACAAATTTAGACTAGTTCATGCATTATTTTATTTGTAATATTTGTAATCAAAATTTGTAATCTCAATCTTGCTTATTAATATCAATATATTATTTTGTAATGAATTAGTTATGATTGCGATAAAAGAAAATGTATTATGTATTTGTAGAGGTTGTCTGTATGAAACTAATAATTCTGGTAAATATGTAAGCATTGCTACTAGAACAAGACATAGGCGAAGAGATAAAAAGTTTAAAAATAATTACATCCCTCCAAATATACCTTTACATAATATTGATATAACAACTCCCAGTAGAGTTGAATCAACAAATATCAGTGAAGATAATGATCAAAATGATAGTCCAGAAATAATGGAAGTTTCTAGTAACTCTGAATCAACTAGTATTATTAATGATAATAATCAAAATGAACCAATAAATGAAAATACTTTATACAGTAGTAGTAGTAAAGAAGAGAATAATGAAGTTGAGGATAATGAAGAAGATGAAGATAATAATGAAGAATATGATAGTAATAATAATGAAGGTTATGATAATAATAGTAATGAAGAATATGATAATGAGGAATGTGATGACCATTATGATGAAGAATATATTGATGATGAGAAATATGATACTAATGGAGAATTTGATGATAATGATGAAGAATATGATAGTGATCAGGAAGAAGATAATAGTGGGTCAATTCCAAAAGAATTTCGTAAGTACTGTATATTTTAATCTATTATACAATTATTTTAAATCTGATATTAACCTATCTAAATATTGTTAGATTTGTCAGATAATCTAATAAAAGGACTACAGCTTTTATATGTTAAGGAAAAACATACACTTTCAAATGAAGCATTTAATGAAATTATGAGAATTTTTGGTATATTGGATATTTCTCTTTATAAGCTCCAAAAAAGATTGAAAAGTATTGTTCCACTTAAGCCAAAACTTGTAGATATGTGTTGGAATTCATGTTGTGCATTCATTGGAGAGAATGCAGATTGTAATATATGTCCTATATGTCAAGAACCACGATATGTACCTGAAAGAACACCACTGCAACCTCGAAAGTTATCTGCATACTTTTCTATAATTGACAGTTTACGAATATAATATAGAAATCCATTTCGGGCTAAAATTCTCCAATATAGGCATGAATATACATCAAGTGAAGAATATGTACTTTGCTGAAATCTTCAAATTTGCCACAATATTTTAATGATACATTTTCAACATCTTCACGACGACATCATGATTTTTTTGAAGATATCG